AACACTAAAACACTAGAACACTAAAACACTAAATCACTAAATCACAAAACATGTCACTTTGTGTACCTATGGTACACCGTACAACTCATATAAATCACTAATGATCTGATAGAAGTGTATATATCGTTTTTATTTACATTAAGTGAAAACCACAGATCCTAAATCGAAAGTATCCATGTTTTTATTCCTTTTTAAGTATTGTAATTAAATTATAAAGTATTTCAAAAGAAAAAAAAAAAAAAAAGATAACACCCATTGATTTTTACTATTTGTACCTAGTACGTACGTTTCAAGGTTATTCGTTATGTAAGATACCCAGATACAAATCAATGGCAGATTTATTATAATAAAAAATTTTTCTAACGGGTAAATACCAGGGTACAAGTCGTAGGAAATATAAAATACCCGGGTATCTTACACAGTAAAATACATTTTATTAAAGATCACGTAAGGAAAATAGCCTTAAGTAGGCTTATTATTAAATAAAAATTATTGACATGATTAACTGTGTTCTCAATTACCGGTAGATAATAAGTAATAGTTCAATTGTATATTTAACAGTAGAAATTAATTAATTAAAAGAAAGTATTACTATTGGTGAACTTGTTAGTTTAATATAATTAAAGTGGTTTTTTCGTATAGCATAGCAGTATTGGTGCGTGCTTGATAAGAAAAGGATCGACTTCTTGAAGAATGTGGACTCGCACAATATTAGAAATTATAGAAAATTTAAGACTTCATAAAATATTCTATTGAAATTAATTTTAGAACCATTAATAATATAGTTCCATTATAAAGGTTTATTATCTGCTCTTATTCTAATTTTTTATCCGAATCAATAAGAACATGTTACATATTTGTTGGCAATTTTGTATGTGCCTTAGTTACATGAGGACATTATTGTTGTCGTCGTTGATAAAACAAAAGGATACGAGTTTTGATTGATCAATGTATTTTATATAAAACAGAATTTATACTATTTAATTCGCTCGCTTTCCATATTTTCATTAGTGTATATAAAGAATTTCTAGCGATGTTTATGGAAATTTGTGTCATAAAAAAAAAACCGATGTTTCGTGTTATACATATATAGGCTAATATTTTGCATATTGTATACGATTTTCATTTTATCGCGAGCAATTGAGATTCAAATCATGATCTTAAGTTCTAACTTTATTAGTGAAACGATTTTTGTAAAGACAAAATAATCCTTGATGATTAACGAAATACGAAAACCTTGAAGAATTTGATAATCAATTAGCCAATAGAAAATTAAAATACAGAAACTCTCAATGATCTTTATAATAAATAACCTTAAATTTTTTTTCAAATTTCTGTTTTCACTATGCAGACAAATCTATTAATCTTTTAAAATTTTTGCAATCAATAGTTTTACAATTGATGATGAATTTCTTTTTCAAATCATCATAATAAAAAAAGTCTGCCTTTCAAAAATAAGCTAATGCGAAAGTTAATTTTTACATGAATTTTGAGGTTGGTAATTTTTTACTAGTTTCCAATCAGATTCAGCATATCAAGTAATGTCGGATATATATTTTGGAAAAAAAAAAGAAATGGATATATAGAATAATGCAAACAAAAAAATTAACTCGCGCGGATTGAATTTGTTTACATAAAAATTGCTCACAAATGATTTCGTCTTTCGTCAGGCATCATTAGTTGCAACTGATAAACGAAAATCATAATACTATTTAATATGCTACAATATCTAAACAATACTTTGTCGAATACATCGATTAATCAATATTCTTTATATTCACTATATTTACATGGTGCAAGCTTGAGTAGCTTATTAATGCGTTAAGGACAACCCACTTTGGTTTAGTGGTACACATTGCCCTTCTTTTCTATTTCCCCCTCACACTCATAACATTAAAAGAAAAAACTAGATATTCATATAATAAGATTGCGGAAATTTTTGGAGATTTCTGTATTTACTCATTTTTTGTTTTTTCATCGCATTGGAGAAAGAAATGTAATATAAATCACTCAATCAAATTGGTCTGATATAATCAATAATTTTTTATTACCATTAAATCAACACAAACGAGATAGAATTAAAAAGGCATTTATTATTAATAATAAGTTTTGTGAATTTGATTAGCTTATATCGACCTCTTCGATCAATAAATAATTATAAATATAATCGTTATGCTAGTGATTAAATGTAAATAAACTAAAGTACTAAAGGTATTTATACTTAGTAACTATTTATGAATCCTAAAGTCCAATTTTTAACTTTAAATTTTGAGAAAATATTGCGACGATAAAAAAAAACATACTGGTGAACTTTACCTCTGATGATTTCTAAATAAATTTTATAATTAATTTTGTTTAAAGATTTTTTACTGGATACCAAAAGTTAACGTACGTGAATCAAATAATGAATACTAATATAACAATCAACACGAATAAGACGAAATTATATTGGAAATCGATCGTTTTTTTTCAAATTAATTAATAACTGCATATTTATTTTATTCAAATTAATTATAAGGATTGCTGATTCGTTAAGTTCGTGAAATATTAACCATTATACAACTTCAATAGCTTCATTTTGTTCGCACTAATTAAGAAGATAAGCATTTAAGTCCAAAATATTTGAAATAAGTCAAACAAGTTTATGTTTTATTGACTTTCGTTTTATTTAACTATAGAGATTACCAATTTATCATTATTTTCATGTTAATTTAGCATACATAATCAAAATTTACAAACTAAGGTGTTTGGGATAGATGATTTAAGTTTGTAATATTTACTATCAAGTAACGCTTCTCATTTCGTTCAAATTAATTTAAAAATATAAAATCCATTAATTCATCAGCACTATCCAAATATTGTCACAAAAATAACTTTATTTCTATGTAATTGTTACAATTAGGCGGCGAAGCTGCATGATTGTATTCTAACTTTAAAACAAGTGCCACAAATTGAAAACTTGAAATTTGATTTTCCGATATATCATTTTCTGAAACAGGTTTATAATAATTTGATAAATCTTAAATTTTCGAAAATCAAGAATTGCAGGTTTTCACTTTGTGGCACTCAAACAAAAAAAATAATTTAAATTAATGTAAAAACAGATTTAAAACTTTGTGCTTTAAAACATTTGCTATCCCTAAGTAAGCCCCATCCCACAAAATAAAAATTGAACCTAACATTACTCATATAGTCAGTCAAATGGCGCAAATAAATACATTGATTTAAGAATGGTGATATTCTGGGATAGATTAAGAAAGAAATGACGATTGATCAATAACGCATTTAGAAAGTTCCAAAATAGTTTCATGAGGATTATAAAGTTATATAAAAGGAGCCATTTGAATGACTAATAAACGATGATGTGATGTTTTAAAATGGAAATAATTATTATTTTTGCATTAGCCCTTAGTGAACAAGGAGAAGAGACATTAAGATAATTAATCAATGAACATATTTTGGAAGATTTCAGTAGTTTCATAAGGGCGGACGCTAAGAGGAGTATTATTATTATCTGTAATTTCGAAAGAAGATGAATCAATTAAATGATTAATAAAGGATAATGTGGCATTTCGAGACAGGTCAAGTTCATCATTTTGCATTAATCCTTCGTGAACAAAATGGGAAGATGAAAGCATAAATGATTGATCAATGGATGTATTTTGGAATGATTCATTAGTTCCATTATTATGGAGATCCGGAGTTTCTGAAGATGAAGAATCATTTAAATAACTAATAGTAGATGGTATAGTTAAAGGATCATTACTTTGTGCTGGTCCTTCGTGAGCGGAAAGGAATACATTTTGGAATATTTCGGCAGTTCCATATAGGTCAATATTGATAGGTGTTTCAACAGAAGAGGATTCATTTAAATAACTAATAGAGGATGGTATAGTTAAAGGATCATTATTTTGTGCTGGTACTTCGTGAGCGGAAAGGAATACATTTGGAATATTTCGGCAGTTCCATATGAGTTGATATTGATAGGAGTTTCATTAGAAGAGGAGTCATTTAAATAACTAATAGAGGATGGTATAGTTAAAGGATCATTATTTTGTTCTGGTCCTTCGTGAACGGAAAGGAATACATTTTGGAATATTTCGGCAGTTCCATATGGGTTGATATTGATAGGAAGAGGAATCATTTAAATAACTAATAGAAGATGGTATAGTTAAAGGATCATCATTTTGTAATGGTTCTTCGTGAACGAAAGGAAAGAAAGAAGGTAAAAATGATTGACTAATGGACATAATTTGGAATGTTTCGGATTCATTATGAATATTGGGAGAAATAATGTTATAATTACAAGGACGTAGAGTCTCAAAGGAGGAGAAATCGTTTGATGAAGTGCATAATGCATTGGTAGTAGTTTCACAAGGATTCACACTGGGAAGAAATTGAGAATTGATCTTTGGACCACGCTTTCTGCCCGGTATATAAACACAGGGAAGGTTGTTATTTCTACAGTTTGCACAGATGCCTTCGGGAAGTCTTATACATTTTCGATGACTCATGCGACAATTTGCACATGCTAGAGACGTATGTGATCTTTGTGGTTTGCTTAAATGAGTCATTATCTTTATTTATACGGATAACAACGACAAATGAATCTGTAAAGATATTATACTATGACTGATGTTGCACTTACTCAAATTAATGCTTAATGCAAGATCTAATTTCAAGGTTTTAACAATTATAATCACAAAATAAAAGTCTGGAAGAAAAAAAGGTCTACTATATATATATTTGCATTAAAAAAAAAAAATCTCAGGCTTGAAATATTGAAGTTTATATACATTTTGGACGTATGGAAATATGAATAGAAAAATATAAAGTTTTGATACTTTTAGTCATACAATTAAAAAAATTGTATGTGCAGCTGACACCTCGAGCAGGTAGTATCATATCGTCAACCGAAAAAAAAGAAAATTATAGAAACAAGAGCTTCAATCCTTTCAAGGTGAGAGATATATCGGTCACCAGACCATTAAATGATATATCCCTTATCGATTTCATCGCTCATGTAATGGGAAGCCTTAAATAAGCAAATTCAAAAACGAGACACCGACCGAGTGGAGGAAATGGAATTGAAGCGACAAGCACAGTGGGAAGCCACGCTTTAACAGCTATGGCATCTGGTTTAGCCCATCCAGGAGGTTGGGCAGGTTGAAACAAGATCATCGTAAGTTTATCAGTTGAAGTTTGAATAAAATTTAAAATGAGGTTTAAATCTTATTCTTGAAGAAAAAAAGTAAAGAGTTAAAACAACTCTGCGGTTTTTTTTCTTTTTAATCGAAATTTCACGTAAATTTGAATGAAGAGCGTAGGGGCAGCATTTTATATAGATAAATAAAATGTACAGTATGATCTGCATGCGCTTATTTGTGTGATACAAACTCTAAAAAGGAAATAGGTAGTCAATAACTACTTGATCAAATTCAGTATAAATACGTTATTATAATTTATATATTGTAGAATTAGTAATATAAATTTCATTGTATTTGGTTTAGTAGTTGTTTGAAATAATCGCGAGAAGTTTTTTTTTAAAAAAAAAATATCAAACAAATCAGATAAAATTTTTTTTATTTGAACTTTAAACAAAAATTTCTCGACAATATCTGATGAATTTTTTTTAATTCTGTGAATTCATAGAATTAAAATAAACAAAGATTACTTGGCAATTACCTGGTCAAATTCAATCAATTTTTTTAAATTATATAATTAAAATAAAAAAAAAATTTAAATGAATTTGGCCAGGCAAGAGCTGAGTAATTTTATACAAAAGTTAAAAAATAAACCATAGTCAAAATTTTTTTTAGCTTATAATGAATGATTCAGCTTTCCAAATTTGTCGAAGTTTTTTATTTTAATTCTATGAACTCATAGAATAAAAAAATTTCATTAAATTCAGATAGTTGGTTGCAGAGAAATTTTTCATTTAAAAAGTTTTTTTAAAAAAAAATTTTTTTAAAGAAATTTATCTCAACTTTAAATGAAGATTTCTTGACAACCACTATCAAAATTTGATGATTTTTTTTATTTTGATTCTATGAGTTCATAAAATTAAATAAAATTTTTGATAGAATTTGAATAGTTTGTTAAAAAAATATTCATAAAATTAAAAAAAATTTGGTCACAACTTTTTTTTTATAGGCGCCTAAACTTTGAACAAAGATTACTCGGCACTTACCTGGTCAAATTCGATCAATTTTTTTTTTTATTTTAATTCTATATGCTCACAGAATTAATATAATAAATATTTGAACGAATTTGGCCAGATAATTTCCAAGTAATCTTCGTTCAAAGTTTGTAGTCTTTAAAAAAAAGATGCAGCCAAATTTTTTTTAACTTTTAATGAATATTTCTCGACAACAAGCTATTCAAATTCGATAAATTTTTTTTTATATAATTCTATGAATCCCGCGGAATTAAAATAAATGAATTTCATCAATTTCGGATAGTTGTTTGTTGAGAAATTTTTGTTTAAAGTTTAAAGAAAGAAAATTACCTTCGATATTTTTTTTTAATACTTTTACAATAATTTCTCAACAATTAACGAACCAAATTCAATAACATTTTTATTTTGATTTTACAATACAATAGAATTAAAATAGAAAACTTTTTACTAAAATTAATCAAGTAGTTATTGAGAACCATCGCTAGAAGTTTTAAAAAACTTACAAATTTATTAATAGGGCCAACTTTGTTTATAGGCTGTTTGGTGTTTGTATTACCGGCATAAATAAGTAAAGCCTCATAATTTTCGAATAGATAGTAACGCAACCAAAATTCAGTAGATTGGCTCGAATTTAGGGTCAGAATAGGCGTAATTGATAATTTTTTCTAAATTCTTCCAAATTTTTACTAATAAATTGACAGCTCATATGAGAGGCCCCACAGCAAAAAGTGATGGCCAAAAAAAAAATATTTTGTAAAAACTTTATTTTTGCAAAAATTGGATTATTTGAAACACAATATTAAAAGACTACTGAAAATATTTTTTTGGCCCATCACCACCTTTTGCTGTGGGTAATGATGCCTGACGAAACTATTTTTGCAGTGATGAAATGGTTTCATCAATGGTTTTGTCAGACGAAACCTTGACGATTGATGAAACTACTGACAATTAACGAAACTACTGACGTTTGACGAAACTCCTGACGATTGATGATTGATGAAACTACTGACGATTGACGATTGATAATTGATGAAACTAGTGATATGGGTCGATGAAAAAACCATGGGCCAGGGTCGATCCAAAAAAGTTCAGGCCGGTCGACCGGGCCGAACTTTATTGCTAATATAAATTTTTCTAATAATAATTAGTCTTGATATCTATATCAAACGTGTAGAAAGCCATCAGGTAGTTTCTTGCCAAATTCTAGTATACTAAAATCATTTGGTTTTTATTCTTTTTGTCTTTAATTATAATTAATATGTTAGTATTTTATGTTGATTAATTATCTCTGCACCTGACAGTCAGACATTTCCATTTCCTATATTACAATTGTTTGCTAATTTATCACCGAAATTAGCCAATAATAAATGTCTACACTTTTATTAATAATTAGCTGATTTTTAGCCAGTATAAGAGAATCGATTCTAGCACTTCTTTTATCGACCAGCCCGGCCCACAAAGGTGCAGGCTGATGGTCGACCTGCCCATTGGCCTGGCCATTGGGCCGGGGCCAGCCCGTATCACTAGACAAAACTTCTGACAAAATTAATCTGACCAATAAAATATAAAAGTAGAGCTGTCCTTCTTTTGATGAGCTTTTTTATGACGACCTCCGGATTAGGGATAGACAAGTCCGGTTCAGTCCGTCCAGTCCTAAAAAGACCAGTCTATTAATTTTTCCAGTCTAGTCTTGGTCCCAATAATGGTCCTTAATTATTTAATCTTATTGGCTAGCGGAGAAAATCAAATCATATGACGTCGATAATTGAAAATAAAAGATTATATAACATATTTTTTAATTAGTTATTTGAATTATTCATGAGGACCGGTCCAGACTGGTCTCAGGACCGAGGACAAGTCAACCATAAGACTGGTTAAAAAGACTGGTTCTTATTTGGTCTTTTCAAGACTGATCTATCCCTACTCTGGATACTCTGAATCTTAAAAATTTCAAAATTACTGTTATTTCATCATTATATTATATGAAATATAGTACCTATTTTGACACATAATGTAAGCCATCATCAAAATGTTGGCCAAAATTGGCATAATGCTGGCCAGAGAGCGTATTGCCAGGCAGAATTAAGGATACTGATGCAAAAGTCTCAAAAATTCTGAAAAGAAAATATATGAACATAAAAGAAGAGCAAGATCAGGTAAAAATTTAAGTATATATCCGATATTTTCTGAAGGGAAAATATAAATTCCAAAAATTATATCATACACATTTTCCCATTACTAGTAAATATTGACATCAGCATCAATCGTCACAAATGTTAATACCACAAAAGTTAAGACATATAAAATTAATTTTTAGCTACCATAATTGTTATGTAGTTTAGCAATACTACGTGTATTACTTTAATTTTCCTATCGGTCTTTACTCGCTTGGCTCTTCTATGTGATGACTGGAGTATCATACTAGATACTACCACCAATGATGTATTCACACAGATGCAATAGTTTATTCACTAAGAACGAAGCTTATTCACGAAGCGAAAGCTAGGCATCTTCCCATTTGGATCGATGTCTTATATATTATTACTAATACATATTTTATTATTACATTGTTCATGCAATCTATTCTAATCGCTAATTACTACATTGTTCATGCAAATCTACTTTTAGACTTTTAATTAAATTGGGATTATGCATATCCCCGATCACAATATTCGATCACGTACCCCAATCACTAGTCACATGGGTACCGCTACAAGTACATGGGGCATTAAGAAACACCGTGACAATAATTTCCTTTATAAACTACCGGAAACATCTGGATGATTAATGTAAATCATCAGGGAACACTTGAAGAACAGTTAACTCAGTGATCAATGATTACATAATAAACATATAATGACATAATTTATTTACCAGAATTAAAATAAACTGGCCTAATATACCCTAACTCTAACCCTAACCTAACTCTAACTTAGGCCAAATACTTGTCATGTGATATTGTGATAATCACTGAGTTAACTCTTCTTCAATCTACCTATCATTGAGAAACATCAGATAAAAATAGAAACTGCGTAGAGTAATATTAAACATCAAAATTTTGCATAATTTCTAAAAGAAAATCACATTTTTATCTTTCCTTATATATTTACTACGCTTAATGTTATATTACATATAAAATTCATAATTCATTATGCATTTTGTCATTCGTCATTTGTCATGAGTTTTGTCATTCGTCATGAGTTTCATCATTAGTCACAAGTTTCATCATTCGTCACGAGTTTCGTCATTTGTCATTCATCAATTCAAAGTTATCTGACAAAATGGTTTTGTCATTCGTCAGGCATCATTAGCTGTGGGCCCCCACATATTAAGTAAAATTGCTCAGCTACTAATTTTGCTATAGTATAGTGCTAGTATGGTTAGTCAGTCTTATAGTTAATGACGACAAGCTCTGGCCCATTCTGTATTAATCTATTCTAATTTCTGCTGTCAAGCACGAACAATGCAAGTCAAAACATTCATAAAACTATAGCTCTGAGTGCAGTAACAGGTCAGAAAGACTTCCTTATTTTCGCAAGACCATTCCAATTTTGGAATCATTATGAATTTATACAGTATTATATATTCGAGTAAAAATCTTATTTTATAGTAACTATTACTTCTTTTGCTGGAGATATTACCCCTAAGATATATTATTAATTAATAATAGCAAAATAATAAATTTTTAAAAGCTTTAAACTGTATAAATAAATTATTTGAGCAATTGATTCATATTAATTATACAAAAGTTTTTTTCATTGATTTTTAGTATAAGTGAACATATAGAATTATCATAGAACCATAATATACAAAAATTAGCAATTTTGATCTAAATTAAGCAAATTAATAAATAGTTAGAGTTAGGGTGAGTGTTAGAGTTTAAATTAACTCAAAGTGGGTGGTTTTAAATACAAGTCACTTTCGTTATAGTGAAGACTGGTTTATAGTGAAGAATTCTTTTCGAAATATATTATTATTAATAAATTTTCATTCAATATAATGA